GGGGTGGCATTTAACCAGGCAGCTAATTTTATAAACCTAAAGCTCTGTTCTTCACACAAACCATGAGTTTCAGTAAATCCATATTAATTTATTCTAAGTTAAAATCATGGCTTTTACATCAAAAGCTCTGACTGCAAGCAAAATTTCCTGACTGGTGTAGGGATAAAGCTTTGAAAGGATAATTTATAATCACTCATTCACCTGCATGGTACAGCCACAAAACAAAAGAAGTCTGAAGTGTCAGCAAAAAGGAACTGAACAAAAGCAATAGGAAAAGAATTCACTGAAGGAGCTTGACTAAGATGCCTTGAATATATTTTTAAGACGGATTGTCCTTATGATCAGGTAGAAAAGTCAGCAGAGTTAAAAATAAAAATCAATCTTGCTTCCATAAGCACAGAAAATTTTTCCTCACAGAGTATATTTCCCTAACTGTCTTTTTGGGTATGCTTATTTTCCCTTTGACACTTCCAGCTTTCATTTATTTCCAAAGGAAATTTGGAGCACAAAGTACTTTGATCTTCCCCTTGCTTTGGTGAAAACAATAGCTTTTATTAGCTCTGAGACAGAGGTGGTTCTCTTCAAAGAATTCTTTTAGAAGATGATTTTGTCTGCTTCTAGTTGTCATCCAGAATATCTATCCTTAAAAATATTATCACAACAAAGGACTTATCACGAAAATGAAAACTCATAAACAATTCTAATCTCATTTGTTGCTCTTACCTAAAAATAGCATTAAAAATTTCTTTAACATGAGAGTAAAATAGATATTAGTTATACTTACACTTCTTAAGTGCAAATAAATTAGCCTGAATTAAAATAAGAGTCAGTTCAGTCCAGGTAAGTTACATAATACTACATGCATAATTGTATGTGTAGTAGTTATATCACATTCTCAGTAAAGCAATAGTAGCAAGGTTTCATAGAATTATAGTATTTTTCAAATTAAGAAGAGGTACATTGCTTTCAAAGTGTCACTACAGTTTCAACTTTATCTGATCTTGCCTCATGTGAAATTTATGAACCTTGGTTATGCTGACGAATTTTCTTGAGATGGCTCCAACAGAGTCAGCATCTGCACTTTTCAAATGGCCTGGAATTTTGGGGATATAAAACAAAGTAGGCTGGATACTGGAATAAATTCAATAAAATGATATTCTACAGAAAAGACAGCCAATGTATTATGATTAAACTGGTTTCCAATTCAATTCAACTATTTTTATGGTACTAACTTTGTACCAAGCACAGTGAGGAACTAGGATGTGGCTGTCCTCAATATATATCAAGGAAGGCAGGCAAATAACCCACAGGCCAAATTAAAACAAATGAAATCAAACAGGTTATCAGGTTGAAAAGACAAGAGTGACTGATAAATTCCAGCTGAAGCTATAACTAAAAGCATTCTCTAAGAAGATACATTTGAAATGGGTCCTAAATAATCACACTATTTGAGCAAATAGAAATGAAGCTGAAGCGTGTCCTGGGTGAAGGCTGGGTTTAAAAAAATGAGAAAAAGCTGGATGCAGAGGAAGTAAAATAAAACATGTTGATTCTGGTCACAGGTATGTTCCTGGTCCCTCTTCCTCTTGAATTCCAGCTTCTGTAACCTTACAATTTCTCCTTTCCCCTTTAGGATTTTCCGTCATGCTGTTCCCTCTGCTAGAAAAATCTGCCCTAAATATTATAATCTTAACTCCTCTTTCAGATCTCAGATTATAAATCACTTCCTCTAATTCATTCCTGAAACCTTCAACCATCATCCCATCCCCAATGGCTTAAGATTGATTCTCTTCTGGTACACATGCACAGCACTTTATACTTTCCCTAAATAGTTTGTCTCACATATTGCTATAGATTATTAGTGAAAATTTTGTTTAATATTTATCATAACCTACAGACAAAACGTTCTTGTCAGGCAGCAATCTTAATCTCTTGTAAGGCTCTGGGACACGAGGCGCTGTCCTTGGTATTTGATAGGAGAACAGTATTTGTTGAATACATGCAAGTATCCAGCAGTTCTTTAGTTTTACTTTGTGCAAGAATTTGGCATTTGAGTATAACATATTTTGTAAATGTTAGCTTTTTCATAAATTTCATGTGTAGGAAAGACATCCACTAAACTTTCAAGCATTATAAACTAATTCAAATTCTTTGTAGATTTCGTTGTTTTCTCCTGCCAGGAAAGAATCGCTTCTCAAATAAAACAAAACGTACAACTATGACAACTCTGATTTCCAAGTCTGCACACAGAAATGAATTGAATATACACATTTGGTTTACAGCTACTCTTAAAGAAAGCAAAATATGAATGCATCTTAAGATATTAAAAAATGAAATTCTGCTAAAAGATAGAAGGGAAAACAAATAAAAACTCCTATAGAGGAGATAAACATGCATCTGGAATGTTTCTGGTTAATTTAAAAAGAAATCACATCACATAATAGCTCTAAAGCTGTAGCTCTATAAATAAAAACAATTTAAGGACGATGGCATTATTTATATGCTAATTAATATTCTTTTTCTCCTTCTCTCTTTTTCTCTCTTGTTCTCACTCTCAAATCTTAAGCTGTAATCTTGTTGACTTCAGGTAGTTTACAAAATCCTTATCAATAGAACACAAAATTTTCTATTTCTATATACTATTTGTTATCAGACAAGGAATGTGAAATAGAGCTGAGGGTTCGGGGAAGAAAGAGAGGGGGATGGGGAGATGTGCCAACACCCAGAGACAGGGCACAGAAGCTGAAGTCCCACTGTCCCTTCACTTTCTCATGCTGTTCCTCAGCTGTACTTAAAGACATGAAATGGTAGTAAATCCCTAGCATTCTTCATATTCATCCCATTTCAGGAGAGCACAGTTACTGATTTTTTTTTCCTGCAGAAGTAGTGAGAAGTGACACATTTCATAGATGCATTATCATAAGAACACTGAAATACTTCTTGACAGACATTTCCTATTGAACAATTGTCCAAAATACATGGCTCTGAGATTGGTATTTGTATAGCACTTCTTGTTAACATGAATAAAATATCTATCTTCCTTCTACTTATTACATAAAATATACTTGGATTTGAAAACTTTCTTTAAAGAAAATGTGCCATTCTTTATCAACAAAGGCACACTATCAGAGAATATTTGCTTCAAAAAATTTTCTTTCCTTCCTACAAAAATGATGAATTTACATTCAGATATGCCAAATCATAAGTCCCAAAATTCAGTATAAAATTGTCACTTCACACAAAAATAATCTCATAATATACAATTTTTTTCTTTATTTTTATTTCATTTTACTGTTTATTTCATACTGAAAATAATAGTCTAAATGTAATAATCTAAACCCTTCAAACTTGAAAGGAATATTTTGACACAAAGAACACTGTTTGCATTTATGTTTTAACTGTAAATGTAAACGCAATAGTGTTTTTACCAGGCATTGGTGCTTCCTGCCAATAAGCAGGACACATTAAAATGAATGAGTTTGGTAAAGATATACTACCTTTAAATGGGGCAGGGAAAAAATGAGGCTGATAGGCATGATAGCTCATAGCCAGAGAGACTAAAAAGGAAAGCCTTAGGTAGAAAAGAGAGAATAACACAGGGTGAGAATGGTGAAGGGAGGGGATAAAATCGCCGCACCTCCTGAATCTCTTTGTCAGAATTCCAGAGTTAAACACTTTGCGTGCTGTTAGTCTTTAATAAGTAGAAAGAAATCAATCAACTGACTTGGCCCAGGAGGAGGTTCTGTTGTACAAACCGCTGTAAACATTTCCGCTAGCTCAGTTTATTCACTGGGGGCAAAAATTAAACCAGGTTTTCTCCATGTGTTTATGACTCCTGGTAATCAATGCATGGAATACAAATGGACAGCAATAACTCAGTAAAACCTTTCAGCGGCCTCTCATTTGTGTTTACAATAAAGTTGCAGTTTCCTACAATGGCCCACCACCCTACATGACGGGGCCCTGTCCATCCCTCTCCACTCTCACCCTTCTCCTCAGTGTGCTAGACTCCCACTGGTTTTCTCTGTCTTCCTCAAATATGACAAGCTTATTCCTATGACTCGACTGCATCCATTCACTGTCTCCAGAAAGATCTTACCCATGATTTTAGAAAAGCTGTCTCCTTATGATTCAGGCTAATGTTCAAATATCACCTAGTATTTAAGTCATCATTAACTACCTTCTCCAAATTACTAACCTCCTAATAGATCAGCTTGCTTTATATTTTCTTCACTGCATTTTCCATCATCTGAAAGACTTTGTTTAACTTATTTACTTGTTTGTTTTCTATCTTTCTCATTCTCACAAAAATGAAAACCTCTTGTAACACCAACTGGATAAATACTCAATGGAATGAAATCAGAGAAGTGGCGGGCAACTGATATCTGACACCAAAAGTTAGTAACACAGAATTTGTTCTCACTGTCTAATGTTCACTTCATTCACTCAGACGGCCTAATATAATATAAAAAATATGGATGATAAAGAGAAAATGTCTTTGGTTTAAATCCTGAGTTTCCCAATGACTATCTAGGTAACTTTAAATTCCCCTTAAAATGGAAATGATAATATGGAATTTACTGAGTTTTCAAACAATCCACGTAACTCACCTAACATTGTTACTGACTTTTAAAATGTCCTTAAAATTTGGTAGGTATTGTGGCTATCCTTTTAAGTAGAATATGACTTCTACCTCTTTACGGTTCTGGAACAGCATGTCTGTTTCACGTCTGCTCGATCTCCAATTATGGAGATTGTTCCATGACTCTGGAACAATCTCCATAACTGGAGTGAAATTCATTGACTTTGCTTGTCCAGCATCCTGACCCTCACTCTTGGTGACAGTTCCTTGGTGTTATCTAGTGCCAAGCCCACCCAGGAATGTGTGCGTGGCCTGGGTCTGACTGACTGCCTCCCAAGGTCCTTCACTGGGGCTCTAGGGAAGGAACGGTGGTTTCACCTTGCCTTCTTCTGAGAATAGAACACTGGTTTGTATGAACCATCTTTACCCAAATGTGAAACCACCCTGCCCAAAAAGGAAGGCCACACAGAGGAAAGAAATGCCAACAGATGGAGAGAGAAACGGTATCTTGAGGACCTGTGACCCTCCTGGAGAGAGCCATGCCTGAAGTGGCCACAGCCCCTGGATATCTCTGTTACATAAGCCAAGTCAGTATTTTGCTTATGCTAGTTTGAGTTTGGTTTCTGAAACTTATAATCTAAAGAATGCTTTTTTTTTTTTTTAACTTTCTGCAGAGCAGTTAAGTGCTGAAATGAAGAAGGCTAAGACAGTGATAGTTTGTTGTAAGGTTAAGTGAAAAAAAAAGTCATTTTCTGAGGTCTAATTAGTAAGTAAACAAATTACTTTCCAGAATGAAATGGTTTAAAGTGAAAATGTGAAAAAGGCGTTAGGTTATTAAGGAGAGACTGACACCTTGGGGTTACTTTTTAACACAGGCAGTAAGATCCCCGTGAATAAATGGTCAGTGTGGGCTTGTGGCCTGGAAAACCAAGAGCAGATTGCCCAAAAGCAATTTAGGAGCATTTGTGACACAGATTAACAGGAAAAATAAAGAAATTAACACCTTATCCAAGAAGGAAGCAAAATGAGAAGCCATTATTGAAAGGCAAAAGGAAGATAATTGTCTTCTTGTGCAAAGAAAATCTAACACACAACAAGGAGGATATACAGCAGGTAATTCTGACAATGGCACCTAATTTGTTTTGAGGAGTTTGTACATTTAAAAATGCTTTCTCCAAGAAAGAGACATTAAAATGTTTTCTTATGAGAACAAGGTATCATGTAATTAATGCTCATGCTATTATCTTAATAAAACATCATTATTAAACATCTTGTCAGCTAGCTGTTTTATATGAGTATATGTTACATTGCTGTTTTTTAATACAAGATCCACAGGAGTATAAACGGCACGTCATCTTCCCATTTCTCCCTGCTAGTTACACCTAAAAACGTTAATGCACCAAACATACATTTGTGGAGAGCTTCTTAGGCAAAATACTTTGATAAACACAATGGGTGATACCAAGATAAACATAGCCCACATCTCAAAGAGCTGATACTAGAATAAAAAGATGAGAAATCTCTACACGTAACCATGTCATTTTAGAGGAGCACCGAACGCTGTAATAATTATAAATAAAGTACATTGAAAGACTAGTAGAATGATCTGATATTCATTTAGGCCAAGGGCAATGGTTCTGAAATTTGAATGTGCATAAGAATCATCCACCAAGTTTATTAACACAAAGGCTGCTGTGCCCACCTAAGAGCTTTTAGCAAGTCTGTAGATGCTACAGATGCTCCTGGTCTCGGGATCATATTTTGAGAACTACTGAACTAGGGGATTGGTTTTCAATTTGTGGTGCACAGTAGAATCTCCTAAGAGGCTTTTTAAAAAACTAGTGTCCAGGTTTTATTCCAGTCCAATAATAAAAGGAAAATATTTTACAAAGGGGACGATACTAGAACTGGACATTGATTTATAGCAAGAGTAGTTTTATAAACAGTTGGAGGCAGATGCTAAGTGAGAGGTGAAAAGTCATGGAAGAGGTCAAGTACAGCACATGATTAAAAATGAGGGCTGGGCGCGGTGGCTCAGACCTGTAATCCCAGCACTTTGGGAGGCCAAAGTGGGCAGATCATCTGAGGTCAGGAGTTTAAGACCAGCTGGGCCAACATGGTGAAACCCCATCTCTACCAAAAAATGCAAAAGTTATCTGAGCATGGTGGCACACCTGTGGTAGCACTACTGGGGAGGCTGAGACAGGAGAATCACTTGAACCTGGGAGGCAGAGGTTGCAGTGAGCCAAGAATGCTCCACTGCACTCCAGCCTGGGTGACAGAGTGAGACTCCGTCTTCAAAAAAGTGGAAAACACAGCATTGCTGATCCATCTGATGCATCCATAGACAGTAGACAAAAGCAATCTTGGGCCAAGTCATGAAAGACCCCAACTGCCATGCTAAACAGTTTGTGACTTTTTTAGGGGGTGAGAATAAGACATCACTAAAGTGCTTTGAGCAGGACAGTGACACAGTGCGAATTGTGGCTTAAAATTATTATCTGAAAGCAAAATCCTGAGCAAATTAAAACAACTCTGGTTCTCCTCAACAAAGATATAAAATTGCTACAGCAATGTTGTAGACCCATTTTTTTTAAATTGGAGTCAAGAGTTATATTCTCTTGTATTCTCAGAACTTGTAGCTCATAGAGAGCTACAAGTTCTCTACAAATGCTTTAATTTTGTGTTTTAAGACATAAAATAAATTTTTAATTTTAATATTTTCTCTGTCACCAGGCTGGAGTGCAGTGCTGTATGATCACAGTTCACTGCAGACTTGACCTCCACAGCTCAAGCCATCTACCCACCTCAGTCTCTGAGATAACTGGAGTCATAAGCACATGCCATCACACCTGGCTAATTAAAAAAATAAAATTGTAGAGACAGGGTATCCCTATGTTGCCCAACCTGGTCTTGAACTCCTGGGCTCAAGTCATCCTTCTACCTCAGCCTCTCAAAGTGCTGAAATTGTAGGCATAAGTTACTGCACCCAGCCAAAGAAGAATATATTTTGTCAGGTATCAAAGCAAAATTTGAGATGACAATTGTCAATTGAAAGATTTTTGCAAGATTGGACTTAAACTTATTAAATCAGTGTTTCTTAGTCAGTGGACATGCTTTTTAAGGAGTCAAGATTAATTCCTTGTGCCTCTTTCTTTCCTTTAAAAATCCACTCCTAACTGCTGCTAATCAAAGCGTGTATTAGGGCAACTTGAATCTATGCTCCTAGGTTGCAATCCTCAAGTTTGGCCCAAATAAACTCTCTACTTAATTTTGCTTTTGCTTCTTCCTTTTAGGTCAACATATCTGGCATAACTTGGCAGGGTTCAGAGAGACTACTCCGGCCACCTGGTGTTTTTCTCTGAAAGCAGGGCTTGATACCAGCACAAGCATTCCATCTTCAGGAGTTCTATTGGGAGTTTCAGGTGAGTTCACCTGAATTCAGACCTCCCAGCTTTTGGTCAAAGGTCTACACTTTATTTGAGCTGTTTCTCAAAACCTCTCTCTTTCCTTTATGAGTGAGGGCTTCAGTCTCTGTCTTTGGACAGACGATTCAGGCAAAGAGCTCTGCAGAGAACTTCCTCCTTCAGCCTGTCTCAGGACCAGGGCCTCAGGTCAAAGTTTTCCTGCCCCTGTCTACAGCAGAGGTTTGGGTAAGGATTGCCAATTAGGCACCAGTGGTCTGGTTTTACACAGCATGCCTAAAAATAATTGCAGATACTTTCCTATTTTTGAAATTTGGGGCTTAATTTTTCTTTTTCTTTTCCTTCTTTTTCTTTTTTCTTTTTTTTGAGATGGAGTCTCCCTCTGTAGCCCAAGCTGGAGTGCAGTGGCACGGATATTGCCTCACTGCAACCTCCTCCTCTTGGGTCCCAGTTCAAGCAATTCTCCTGCCTCAGCTTCCCAAGAGGCTGGGATTACAAGAATATGCCATCATGTCTAGCTAATTTTTGTATTTTTAGTAGAGACAGAGTTTCATAATGTTGGCCAGGCTGGTATTGAACGTCTAACCTCATGATCCACCTGCCTCAGCCTCCCAAAGTGCTGAGATTACAGGCATGAGCCACTGTGCCTGGCCTGGGCATCATTTTTCATCTGTAACCAACTCTTATTAAACATCAGCTGAATTTATATATAACACGATGGACATCCTCTATTAAATATCTAGGAATGTGGATCCACCTAACCTGGAATTGTCAAAAAATAAACCTCTCCAAAACTGGGGATCTTTTGAAATACCTAAAAGAATTTATTTATGTGCACAATTAGAAAAAGCTGGTTTTGGAAGCAGACAATTAAATACCTACTTCCAATGGTCCTTTAAGAAAGAAAACTTCTAAAAGAAACCCTGAGACAATTGCCTCCATTCAGGAGGTAAACGGAACATACCCATCACCAGCACCAGAGGGTATTCCCCAGGTGTTTGGCTCCCTCCCTGAAACTCCTATTGAGGCATAGTGACTCCAGTCCTGGAGTCTCTATGAGCTCCTTCTGGTTCTGGGGGATGCCTGGTTCTCAAACTATTCTATGCTAACTGAAAAACCCATCATGAAGACACCGAGGGGATAGGGGTAAAAAAAAGAGAGAAATTTAAGTAAATAAATAAATGAATAAAAAGACCACCCAATGAACAAGATGTGTCTCCAAAATACACCTTTGTTGCCTAGCTGACAATTGCTTCGGTCAATATAACAGTTAATTAAAAGACTAATGGTCTAAAACGGGGAAATGAATTAAATTAAAACTACTGAGATTATAAACATGTAGATATAACCATTTTTTTAAAAACAAGATTATTGATGCTGATGTTGAAATGTTAACATCCGAGGAATGAGCTGAGCAGCGCTCCTGCTGAGATTAGATCCGAATCAAGTTAAAATCCTCTAATGTTCAAATGGCCTGCTTTGAATATCCTGCAAGATTTATTTAAAAAAAAAAATAATACCTTGCAAGATTTACAAAAAAGAAAAAGAAAAAAACCCTCCACTCTGTGGTCTAGTGGCTATGATTTTATGCTCTTACCACCAAGGCCTAGGTTTGATTCCTGATTAGGGAACCAGCTTCTTTTGGTTTGGTATTTTTGTGACTTTTGACTTTGCCACTTGGGAGAGTGCCTTTGGTTAAAAAGAAAAAAAAGATTCAAAAGATTCATCAGCTGTTTGTCTTGGCTATAATCTGAAAATTTTAAAAATTATTAAAATATATTTTTAGTTTATGTTATATATAAATAATATATTATAAATATATAAATTCATATATTTAAATATGTTTTTAAAGGGCTCTACTATGGTCAGAAGTCAGCTTGACTAAAGCTGATATTTAAGTACACACACAAAAACACATTATAAACATATATATTAATATATTTACATATGTGTGTGTGTGTATATATGTACATATACATTTCATACATATTATGCCCTTTCTGCTTTTTTCTCTTTGGATCCTGCTTTGGGGAAGATTAGCTTCCTGTGGATGGAAACCCTTCATTAATTATCTGCTTGTCTCCTCTGTTCACTTCCTTTCTTAAAAACTGTTCTCTTACTTACTTCTATTCCTCCTGACTCCTTTTTCCTTTTTGCCATCTTCAGTACCACATAAAAGGATCTGGGAGAGACATCTAATGACTCAGACTGTTTGAGAAACACAGAAAACAGTGCCACTGACCCCTTCTGGGGGTCATCTGTCTTGCTGTGAAGTCTAGAAAGTCACAGATTCCTCTGAGACCTCATACTCTACCATCTTTTGTGCTGTGTTACCTGATTTTGTTGGCTTTCCGGAGTACCAGAGATTACTTGGTACTGAGAGAGAACTTGACCTTGGTATATGTGATAACTGGTGAGTCACTGGCAGAGCTACGGTTTTGGAGGTGGCTGAGGGCTATTGTTTACAGTAAATGGTTATTGCTACAGGACAGTACTCATTTCCCTGGCAGTATAGATGAGACAGGTAAGGTTTAAACCTTAGAGAAATGTCTTTGTAGCACAGGGTACTGTAGAAGCATTGCTTGGCCGGGTTCCATGGTGTTTCCCTTTTTTTGTGAGGGGAGATTCCAGGATTCAATATAAAAGTAGAATGCTTGATTTAAAAAAATCTAAATGCTCTGTCTTCCAACTGTGCTGGCTTTTCACATATTTAAATTATTCAACTTTAAAAACTGCAAATGCTTTTTTGTCCCTGTTCCTTAATGGGCTCCAGTTTGAGTTCAGTTATCCACTTGGAAAACAGACATTAAATTAAAAGCTACCTATCTAAATGAAATTGGCCTCCTTATGAAATTCTATGGTAAATTCCTATGATTTTGTGTTACCTTGAAATTCATTTTTAACCTTCCCCTAATATACCCAAATTCCTTCTTTAAAAATATTAAATTCTGTATCTGTGATTTGAGATGTAAATTTGCTACCCTATTTCTCTAAACTTCAGTAAGGGCTTCAGCCATGTGAAACAGATAAACTTTAACATTTTCCATTTACAAAGGCACAACTGTCCATTTAAACTAGAGAGTTTTACCTGATTCATGGGAAAGGTTCTAAAACTGAAGTTATAAGATCTCTATGATTGCCTGCATTTTTTGTATACATGTGTACACGTCTTTTCGTATGTTGTCTATGACACCAAATTGACTTGTAAATATGTGTTCTCATAAATTAAATAACTAGACCAAATGCTTTTTAAATTCAGATGATTTTAGTAATCTTTGGTAAATAAAAATAGTTTTAAAATTGTTGGTAAAATAAAATAGAAACAGCTTCATAATTTAATTAGGAAATTTTTGTCTGTTGGTCACTCAAGTTTATACTATCTCTGCTAGATGTTTTAAGGTCATAAACCTGTAATTCGTATGATATTTTAAAATATTTGCTTAATTTGTGAGCTTATGTCTTTGGATTTGAGCGTTTAGATCTGGGATCTGGAGAGAGTATCTGTTTCATAGTTTCAGAATTCTTTTGAGTAATTTAAAAATCTTAGGATTATGTTATGTTAAATTAATTAATAGCTAATCATAAAATGTCTAAGTCATTTCTAAGTAAGTTAAAATACTGAAACATTAATCATTAAACATAAATGTATGTTTATATACTTTAACATCATATTTTTATATAGCATAGTAAAGCTGAATATATTTAGATCTGTTAGTAAACAGAAAATTTAGAAAACCTCTTTCTAAAAAATTATAAAATGGTTTTCATAAAATACTAGTATAAAATAGTTCAAAATTATTTGCTTCCTAGGTTTTTCACTGAAAATTAGTTACAAGGTTAAAACTGTGATATGGTTTGGCTGTGTCCCAACCCGAATTTTGAATTGTAGCTCCCATAATTCCCATGTGTTGTGGGAGGGACCTGGTGGGAGGTAATTGATTTATGAGGGTGAGTCTTTCCCATGCTGTCCTCATGATACTGAATAAGTCTCAAGAGATCTGATGGTTTTCTAAATGGGAGTTCCCCTGCACATGCTCTCTCCTGTCTGCTGCCATGGAAGATGTGATTTGCTCCTCCTTGATTTCTACCATGATTGTGAGGCCTCCCCAGCCATGTGGAACTGTGAGTCAATTAAACCTCATTCCTTTATAATTACCCAGTCCTAGGTATGTCTTTATTAGCAGCATGAGAACAAACTAGTATAGCAAATTAGTACCAGGAGTGGGGCTATACCCTGCAAACCCACAGAGGCAGAGCTGCTCAAGGCCATGGGAACCTATCTCTTGCATCAGCATGCCTTGCATGTGAGACATGAAGTAAAAGGAGACCATTTTGGGACTCTAATGTTTAATGACTGCCTTGTTGGATTTCAGACTTGCATGGGGCCTGTAGCCTTTTTGTTTTGGACAATTTATCCCATTTGGAATGGGTGTATTTACCCAATGCCTGTACCCCCATTGTATCTGGGAAGTAACTAAACTGCTTTTGATTTTACAGGCTTATAGGTGGAAAGGACTTGCTTGGTATTAAATGAGACTTTAAACTGTGGACTTTTGAGTTAATGCCGAAATTAGTTAAGACTTTAAGGGACAGTTGGGAAGGCATGATTAGTTTTGAAATGTGAGGAGATGAGAGTTGGAAGGGGCCAGGGGCAGAATGACATGGTTTGGCTGTGTCCCCACCCAAATCTCCAACTGTAGCTCCCATAATTCCCATGCATCATGGGAGGGATCTGGTGGGAGGTAACTTAATTATGGGAGCAGGTCTTACTCACGCTGTTCTCAGGGCAATGAATAAGTCTCAAGAGATCTGATGGTTTTATAAATGGGGGTTCCCCTGCACATGCTCTCTCTCTTGCCTGCTGCCATGAAATATGTGACTTGCTCCTTCTTGCTTTCCGCCATGATTATGAGGCTTCCTCAGCCATGTGGACCTGTGAGTCAATTAAACCTCCATCCTTTATAATTACCCAGTCTTTGGTATGTCTTTATTAGCAGCATGAGAACAAACTAATACAAACTTTACTCAGTATGTATAACTAAAACTACCAGATATTAGAGAAAAATGTCTATATGCAGAACATATAATGAAAGTAAAATGTAAAGAAAGTTGAAAAGACAGAGTAATTTTTCTTTTACATGAAAGAGAACTTTATATGGTCCTGATAATGGGGAAAGGAAAGGAAATTTTTGTTCTATGGTAAAATGTAGGATACAATTGATGTTTTAAGTAAGTTGTAGAAGGTTTGTAGAAGATGGATCTTGTGAAAGAAATTTTGTGTGTGATCAGGTTGGCTAAAATTAAAAGGGGATTATTGAGTTTTTGTAAAAACTTAATATTAATATTAAAAGCATACTGATGCAGGGTCAGGATCTGAGGCCCGCTGTTTGAATAACAAGGTTTTAACTAATAGAAAATTTTAAAAGGTGATGAAAGGTTTCTGAAAATCTTATCTTGTTTGGTCAAAGCTGATTAAGATTGGATGAACTTGTTTATAAGGTTTTATTAAAACAATTTTACCATTAATAATATACTGATGCAAAGACAGAAGTTGGTATTCTATTATTCAAATTAAGTACTCTTAATTTCTAGCAATATAGTTGTTTGTACAAATTCAACAAAAATCTGTATTCTTTCTTTAAGACACATAATTAGATATACTGGTTCTTTTACCAAAACTTTGACTGAAATGGCTTCATTTCAGATACAATCAGACTGCTTTGAGGAATTGATGTAGACTTTATAGAGCCAATAAAAAAACCCTTGGAAAGACTGGTCTGGTACCTTCTCTGCATAGTTCCTTTATAAAGTTTCTGTCCTCATGGTAACTAAAGAATGTCACTTTCTGACAGGCCCAGGAACCTCAAGTTATTTTGGGATCTCAAGAAGAGCAGGTGACTCATTTTATACAAGTACTGCAGACGGTCTGATGGCAAATCCTTGGATTGGTTGGCCTTGGGGGCTTTTAAAAGTTGAATCTGAGGTTCTTATGGAAGTCCCAGTAAAGCTAACTTAAAAGAAATTAGGCCATTCACTGTTCTTTTGCACTTCCCGCAAATAAGCAGGCAAAGTAACATAACACTAAAACTCATTTTGCAAGTAAATTGGTTCAACTAAGATTTATCTTTGGTAAAAATGGAGAACTGGATAAAGAAAAAGTGTTTCAGAAAAAAAAAAAAAAAAAAACTATAGTATGCCTGTTACTAGATTCTAGTCTTGTCCATTGTTTTTGAGCTTTATTATTTGCCTATAATTTGGATTAAATATTGAATTACTTCCTGGCTACAAGTATCTAAAGAAGAACCTAGATTTAATTTTCGTCATGATGTTTTTAGTTGACTCCCTAATGGAATAGGTTTATTTTTGTTGTTGTTTTGGCATTTAAATTTTATTTTTAGTTATAATCCTTACATAGATTATATTTCCACTATCTATTGTTGTTTTCCTTCTTCTGAGGAAACTAAATTGATGATATTCTGAATCTAGGTAGGATTCAACAAGCAACAGCAACCATAAATCAATAACATTGACAGAACTACTTGGGAATGAACCTTCCTAATGATGGACACCTTGATACTAAAATTTTAATCATCAATGCTATCAAGAAGAATGATTTTTGATCAAAAGGGGGAAATGAGAAAACAAAATAACTTTTATCTGATGAATGCAAGTTATTTTAATTAACTGGCCTGGAGAGACATTATAATAAGACAGCAATCACATCCCTCTACTCCTTTTGAGCTATTTATTTATCTTTTGTAACTGCCTGCTACCACCGTAAGTAGTTATAACGTATCCTAATGATGTCACACTGAACACTATAACCCACACCCTAGAGCTTAGCAATGGATAGCCAATGTTATTTGTCAATGTTCTTTCTGTAAATCAATAAGAATGCCTGACAAACAACTTTGTATCAGCTCACTCCTTGTCTCCCATTTTTCACTTAAAAAATCTATTTGTAATTGCTGTTAATTGGAGTGAACATTCAGGGCAATTTGCGTCTATGCTCCTAGGTTGCAATTCTCAAGCTTGGCCCAAATAAACTCTCTACTTACATTAACTTTGCCTCAGGTTCTTCCTTTAAGTTGACAGGATAAAAAATTTAAAATGTCAAAATAGTATTTTTTATTTATTAAGGCTAAAGCTAGAACAAAATTATCTTTTACAATTAAAAATAAAACCCTTAATTTGTTAATTTTTTAAAAGTGATCTGTCAACAGGATAATTCATAAGAAGATATATATAGACTAATAATTTGTTGACAAATAAAACTTTTGAATTATAATACATTTTCCCTTCACTTCCTGTGGTTAATTTTTCCTGTCATTTATCATTGTACCAGTAATACTATTTTTTGGAGGAAAAAGACAGTAAAATGCAAGCATTAAGGGATGCATTAAAAGTAAATATTATTCCAATACCAAGTACATGATAAATCATATATTCCATGCTGAACACATATTCTTCTCCCTGTATGGGGGCACCAGCTGTTTAATGGTACACAGAGAAATATATTTTACTCTTAATCCACTCAATCGCATAGGGATACCACTATAACATATGTCAGTGATTTTCTTTCTTGGAAATGGTCTTCTATATATTTAACTCCTTCTCTTTATCTTTTCAAAAATTTTAAAACTTGCCTAAAAATTTTCAAAACACTTTCACTTAATTATTTTTATTTGGAAAAAGCATAGCAGATGAAAATATTTAAAACATTAAATCCTAAATACAAGAACTTTATATCAAAAGAAATGTCATTAATAATCTAATAAAATGAATAACATAAAAAATCCTATTAATATATTTTCTATCAAAATATAGACATTTATTTTTTTTAATTGGAATGAAATACCTGAGCTTCTGGTTGTACTGCTTGACCTTCTCCAGTGAGGCTGCATTTATCTGAGCTTGAAATTCTTCCACAGAAACACTGTCTCTATAATAATATCCTTCCATGCTCTCCAGTGCTGTCGAAACAAGTAAACATACTTTGCAATTTCTCCACATGTAGTATAATTTTATTGATTATTAGTAAATTTAGCAAAGAGGACCAATTCTCAACATATATGCAAAAGAACTATATTAGGTCCAAAAATGAATGAAAACTGTTCTGCTGTCAAAATAAATATCAAACATTTGGCGATTTTTCTGTCCAGTGGGGCAAAAAAAATTCTGGTTTAACTGTCCTCTATTTTTAAAACATTTTGTATATGTTGCAGGAGACCAAAATATGCCTTTCCAAAATATAACTGTCGGAGACCAGAATATACCACCCCAAAATATTCCTCCTTGGCATAAGGATTATTTTGATCTGGTTATTTTGAGAAGCTGCACACAGACACAGGAGAAACTCTGAAACCAGAGTAGAAGTTTCCCTTTAATAAAGAAAATTTACATCTATGAAGGAAGTCTCCACTTGTAAGAGTGTCCCGCTCTCTGTACTAGGAAGAGAAGGAAGATGATCACAGAGGGTCTTACCTGCACAACAAATCTTTCCTTTATTTGATGGTGGTTTCCTGGTCACCTCCTTGTAACTGGGCCTTCCCTAGACCCTTTTTTTCTGTTTCAGTAGAACCATGGCATTTACGCCTAAGTTCAAAGCTATCTCTCTCAGATTTAGTCACTTTTCTTTAGGTATCACTCATGTATACATGAGGTATATATGTTATTAAACTTCTGTTTGTTTTTCTCTTGTTAACTTGTCTTTTGTTATGGGGGTCCATCCCAACTAAGAACTATGAAACATATAGAGAAAGTTATTTTTCCTCCTCTACAACATTCTTTGTGAAGCTAAACTCATACTTCCTATGTATTTTATATTTATACACACATATCTATAATATATGACACTTATGTACATATTTGGAACATATAGATGACAGGCAGAACTGTACGTTATCATATGTCAGAGGCCAGGAATGGTGGCTCATGCCTGTAATTCCAGCACTTTGAGAGCCAGGCAGGAGGATTATTTAAGGTCACAAGTTCAGAACTAGCCTAGGCAACATAGCAAGACCCTGTCTCTAAAAAAAAAAAAAAATTAATTAGCCTGGCATAGTGGCATGCACCTGTAGTTCTAGTTACTCAGGAGGATGAGGTGGGAAGATAACTTGAGCCCAGGACCTCAAGGTTGCAGTTAAGCAGGATCATGCCACTGGACTCCAGTCTGGGGAACAGAGTAAGACTCTGTCTCTTAAAACAACGTAACAACAAAAACATGTCACAGTAAAAAAATAGAAATGTTCAATCCCCATGTATATTCACATTCTTAATTGTAAATAACAAACAACCTTAATTAAGAAATATTAATGTAATAAATAAAAAGTATAAAATGAAATCTTAGAAAATCACCTCTACTCAAATTGTCAGTTAATTTAGTTATAACATCTCACTAATTTTAAATGTATTTTGAATAGCATATACATTTTTTAATAACATTTTTGATTATTTCTTTTTCCTTTAACTTTTGTGAGGTATGATTTAAAAATTTTTGGAGAGGAAATAAATCACAGGAAAGTGGCCTAGAAATACAAGATTTCCTGTGGAAAGGTTGCCAGTAACAGGAATGGCATGGATCCAAGTTGGAAATGTAAATTATTTTCCCTTGAAATGCATTACTACTTATGAGCCTCAATTTTCAATACATGATTTCAAAATTGATTAAACAATCTCCTTTCAAGACTGCTAAATGCACTAGTTTCTAAACTAAATCATGAGGTTTCTTCAAAGTGAAAGAAACTATCACCATTTTGAGGGGGAAAAATAGGAAAGTGACTGCTAATTTTAGCTGTGCTATAGTTTTATTAAACTAGTCAGAATTCTAGAACACTGAAGAAAATAATAAGATTTTAAAGATCATTGTTAAATTTGAAGATTTTTTAACATGGAAAATTAAAAAATTGGTTTATAATTGAGAAAAGTAATTGTGGAAGATTAGGGAGAAAACATACTACATTTATTTCAGTACAGAAAATCAAATCTGTGTGCTGGCTTTACAGATTTTTAACTTGTTTATTTCTTATGGCTTCTGGGAAGGAGCCTAGGAAACTTTACCCTTAAAATATGGCACTCTGGTATACTGATTACTTTAAATTAAAGGCTTCTGTAAGTCAGCAGATATTGGATGAGGCTTTTCTCTGATATGCCCTATCCACCTTAAGACTATCCCTGTAAAAGAGAACACAATTATTTTCCCTACCCTCCATGGAGATCTCACTATCTATCCTACAAAAGAAGACTTTGGAATGTAACCCACCTAGAAGGACTTTTCCCACAAGATAATATCTATTTCTCCAGCTCATTCAAATTCCAAGACAATCACTAACAAGTTAATTTCTGTCTCATGTCTCTATTCATTCTCCCTAATAAATATTTTACTACCTCCTACATTCCCTATCTCCCCCATCACCTATGAAGAAGGATCTATAAGTATCTGGACCTCACTGGGTTGTTGAGTAATCACTCTCCCATGACTTTGCACTGTGCACATTAAGTAAATTTTGTGTACTTTGTTTCCTTATTAATCTGCCTATTGCAAGTTCATTTTCAGCAAACCTTCAAAGGGAAAAGGGCAGGTTTTCTCTCTTAGGGCCTATATCTTCATTAATTAGAATAGTTGTAACTGGCTCAACAAGCTTCTGGTGCTGAATACACACAGGAAATAAAAGACTCTCTCCCTGATAAAATAATCCTTAAATATGTGCCACATTCACAAGTTGCTATTCATAAAAGGTAAACATCCCGGGAGGATTCAGTCTATCAACAGTCATACTTCAATATAAATTATTCTTACTAGTTGGAAGGTTGATGAAAGCCCTTGCATTAGAGTAAAACTCCAGTTTCTGCTGTGTGACTTTGGTCAAGTTAATTAACATCTCAGATTCTCAGGTTCTGTATTTTTGATGTGCAAAATAAATGCACCTTCTAATTATGGTTAATAAGAAATAATTTAATTAAATAGTAGTATTAAGACAGCCTGTGAGTATTCTTACTTACTGAATGTGTTTTATTTACTAGGCAACATGCCAAATGCTCTACAGGTATTACTTAATTCAATTTCGTTGAGATACAGAGTATAAAGAGTGTGCTTAGCCAAACACAAAGTTTGGGGGGGACTAAGAGAAAGGTCCATGCAAAAACACTTTGGTTTGTGACTTAAGACCAGAAAGACTGGAAGGAGAACAGTGAGAAAGGACAGCAGTGGAACTGTGAGGAAAGGGAGTTTGGAGGAAACTACATGGGAACTAATTTTTATAAAGATCTTGATGGTTCAACTTTGGCCAGAAAGGCCAGTCCTGTCCCAAGTTTTGTCCCAATATGAGAACCGTTATATAAACATAATCTCATATTTTAATGAATACTTCTACAATCTCATATATTTCAATTTTCATTACATTTTTGACAGTATCATTCCAAATTAACAAAGCAGTTAAAATTCACAACCACATAAAATTTTTTAAAAATTGGAAAAGTGCCTAACAATTTTGCCAAGAGTCTTAGTAAGAAATATGTGTCACATGTATAGGGTGGTGGGGAATGCACAAAAAAGATGAGAAGATGAGTTCTATATTTAAAAACTAACATCTGAATGACAGAGAAGAGGCAAGACAACAACACTCCCTATTTTAGCTAAATAGCTTGTTTATTTATCATTATTAAAAAAAACCCAGAAGGAAGGATCCAAGATGGCTGATTAGGAACAGCTCAGGATTGCAGCTCCCAGTGTAAGCACAGAGGGTGAGTGGATGCCGCATTTTTATTGCCCACAGACTAGGAAATTCCCAGGCGGAGAAGCTCTACAGGTCACCAGTGCGGCTGTTTTGGCCAGCGCGGCCATGCCGGCCAGCGCTGCTTTTTTGCCCTACGCGGCTGCTTTGTCGGCGCCCTGAGCAGCAGTTCTCCATACAAAATACCCCGGTTCGGGTGCCCTTTTGGCTGGCAACTGGAGCCACGGGAAGTTGCCTGTTCGTCTGTTTAAAACGGGGACTGAGCAGGGAACCAGGACAGTAGATTCCAGGGCAAAAAAAAAAAAAAAAAAAGCACCACAAACCTCAGTGCTGCTGTTTAAGCCAGCGCAGTGAGTGGCTGCACGGGAAAACAAACAGACCCCGGCGCCTCTTCAACAGGCGACTGGAACACAAACTTAAAAAAGGCTCTGAGGCAGGGAGCCAGGCGATCAAGCTCGGCTGGTCCCACCCCCACAAAAGAACAGCAACCAGAAACTCTGGATTGAGAGTTTCACAGCAAGCACAGCTGAACCCGGGACGGTCCAGCTCTGTGGGGGAGGGGCGTCCGCCATTACCGAGGCAGCCCGCCACGACAGAGGTAGTCGGCCAATGCTGAGGCAGCCCTCCGTTGCCAAGGCAACCCGCCATTGCTGAGGCAGCCCACCGTTGCCAAGGCAACCCGCCATTGCAGAGGCAGCATGCCATTGCCAAGGCAACCCACCACAGCAGAGAGACTCCGCCTCAACAGAGGCGGGCCACTATCACCAAAGCAGTTCTATACACCCATATAAATAGGACTGCAGGGAAGTTCACTGGGCGGCTGGGTGGAGCCCACAGCAGCTCAGCAAAGCCTCTACAGGCCGACGGTGACTAGGCTTCCTCCTTGCTGGGCAGGGCAGGTCTGAAGGAGAAAAAAAAAGAAGGCAGCAGCATAACGGAAACTCATAAATAAAGCCCTAAATCCCTGGAACAGAGCACCTGGGAACAAAAAGCAGTTTATGAGTTCTGCTGCAGCAGACCTAAACGTACCTGCCCAGCAGCTCTGAACGAACAACAGAACTCACAGCTCACCATTTGAGCTCCTATAAAGAAGAGACCGTCTCCTCAAGCAGCTCCCTCACCCCTATATATCCAAAGAGACACCTCAAAAGAAGACATCAGATTGACACTAGGCGGGCATCCTTCTGGGACAAAGATAGCAGAAGAAGAAAACTGGTAACAACACTTACTGTGCAGCAGCT